GCCAGGCAGAGTAATCAAACACAGATCCACAGATTTATGTTTCACTTTGGTGAAGTTTCCCTTCTGGATGTAACTGTATGTATTTATGGAACTGAAAGTGAAAGTAGTCAAACTGAATTTTTAACAAACCAAAATACAGTTTCAAAGAAAATTAATTCAGATACAAAACTTTAAATTCAGTTTCAGTTTAGTGAACTTTATTTTGAAACCAATTTATTCAGTTTCACTTCCTTCAGGCACAAGATTCATCCCATACATTTTGTTCAGGGGCAACACTGAACGGGGGGCAGGTGGTGGCAGAGACCTCCCTCTTAATTCTGCTGGTCTTCGTTCTGACCCCCCACCCAGACAGACACATTCTCCTGACTTTAAGCTTTTATTTGGTGCAGATTAGAATATTAGAAATCCTCTGAAATTCTGAAATAATCCCAGCCCAGCGCAGGTCAGGACTGGTTAGAGACAGAAAATATGAAAAACATTTTTAAAATGTCTGAATTCCTTCGTACAAACTGTTGAACACTGAGAACAAGATGTGAGTAAATATGAGTTTCAGACGAGTCCTGTGCTTTTAAACACCTCTGATCTTGGATTTTCAGAATAAAAGCCCAGAATTTCTTCTCACATTTTGTGTTTGTGTTTGAACCCAGCACACGATCCGAGCTCTGGCTCTGCGGGTGCTGAAGGAAATCCTGAGGAACCAGCCGGCCCGATTCAAAAACTACGCCGAGCTGACCATCATGAAGACCCTGGAGGCTCACAAAGACTCTCACAAAGAGGTAACGGAGACCAGGACCCGGGACAGATCTGTGTGAGTCCTGCATCCTGCTGATGGAGATAAAATAAATCATCTGTGTGTTGTGGAGGTGGTGCGAGCGGCCGAGGAGGCGGCGTCCACGCTGGCGGGCTCCATCCACCCGGAGCAGTGCATCAAGGTTCTGTGTCCCATCGTGCAAACGGCCGACTACCCCATCAACCTGGCCGCCATCAAGATGCAAACGAAGGTCATTGAACGCATCGCCAAGGACTCGTTACTGCAGCTGCTGCCCGACATCATCCCCGGCCTGCTGCAGGTCAGAACCAACGCTTTCATAGACGAGCTGTGAGGGGATTCACCTCTGATTATTCATCAGTGTTCTCATGAGTCTGAAGAACTAAATGAGAGGTTTAATTAATAATTATATTAATAATTAATTATAATAATTGAGTTTTATAACCTGAGGAGCAGAAAATCTTTGGACAAGCCAGAATTATTGACCTTATTTTCCCTGGAAGTGTTTATGTGCACTCTACTGTCTCTGACCCCGCCCACATTCCCTGCTGACCTCCCCGCCTGTGTGTGTGTGTGTGTGTGTGTGTGTGTGTGTGTGTGT